TCTCTAATCTTGTCTTCAAGCTTTATTTCATTAAGTTGATGTTCAATCTCTGATATCCTTTCTTCCACCTGATCGATTTGACTATTGATACTTGAGTATGCTAAGTTCTCATGCTGTTTTTTTCAGCTCCATCAGGTCATTTATGTTTTTCTCTAAACTGGTTATTCTATTCAGTATTTCGTCTAACTTTTCTTTAAGATTCTTAGCTTCTTTGCATTAGGATAGAACATACTCCTTTAGCTCGGAGGAGTTTGTTATTATGACCCATCTTCTCAAGCCTACTTCTGTCAATTTATTAAACTCATTCTCTGTCCAGCTGTTCCCTTGCTGGTGAGGAGTTCTGATCCTTTGGAGAACAGGCATTCTGATTTTTGGAATTTTCAGACTTTTTGCACTGCTTTTTCCTCATCTTTGCAGATTTATCTACCTTTGGTCTTTGCTGTTGGTTACCTTTGGATGGGGTTTTTGTGTGGTGGTTCTTTTTGTTGATGTTGATGCTATTGGTTTCTGTTTGTTAGTTTTCCTTTTAGCAGTCAGGCCTCTCTTCTGCAGGTCTGCTGGAGTTTGCTGGAAGTTCACTCCAAACGCTGTTTGCCTGGGTTTCACCAGTGGAGGCTGCAGAATAGCAAAGAGAGCTGCCTGTTCCTTCCTCTGGAAGTTTTGTCCCAGAGGGACACCTGCCCGATGCCAGGCACAGCTCTCCTGTATGAGGTATCTGTCGACCCCCGCTGGAATGTGTTTCCCTGTCAGGAGGCATGGGAGTCAGGGATCTACTTCAGGAGACACTCTGTCCCTTAGCAGAACTCAAGTGCTGTGCAGGGAAAACTGCTGCTCTCCTCAGAGCCAGCAGGCAGGAACATTTAAGTCTGCTGAAACTGTGCCCACAGTTGCCCCTTACCACAGGTGCTCTGTCCTAAGGAGACAGGAGTTTCATCTATAAGACCCTGACTAGAGCTGCTGCCTTTCTTTCAGAGATGCCCTGCCTAGAGATGAGGAATCTAGAGAAGCAGTCTGGCTACAGTGGCTTTGAGGTGCTGTGGTGGGCTCCACCCAGTCCAAATTTCAGGGCAGTTTTGTTTACACTGTGAGGGAAAAACTGCCTACTCAAGCCTCAGTAATGGCAGATGCCTCTCCTCTCACCAAACTCGTGTCCCAGGTTGACTTCAGACTGCTGCGCTGGCAGTGAGAATTTCAAGCCAGTTGATCTTAGCTTGCTGGGCTGCATGGAGGTGGGATTTGCTGAGCTAGAACACTTGGCTTCCTGCCTTCAGCCTCCTTTCCAAGGGAGTAAACAGTTCTTTCTTGCTGATGTTCTACGAACCACTGGGGTACAGATAAAAAATTCCTGCAGAAAGCTCGATGTCTGCTCAAATGGCCTCCCAGTTTTGTCCTTGAAACCCTTGTGGTATTAGGTACTAGAGGGAATCTCCTGGCTTGCAGGATCATGAAGACCCTGGGCAAAGTGTAGTACCTGAGCTGGATAACACTGTACCTCACGGCATGGTCTCTCATGGCTTCCCTTGGCAAGGGGAGGTGGTTCCCCAACCTCGTGTGCTTCCTGGATGAGGTGACACCCTACCCTGCTTCTGCTCACCCTCCATGGGCTATACCCACTTGTCTAACCAGTCCCACTGAGATGAACTGGGTACCTCAGTTGGCAATGCAGAAATCATCCACCTTTTGCAATGGTCTCACTGGGAGCCGCAGACTGGAGCTGTTCCTATTCAGTCACCTTGCCTGGGAATCCCTGTTGCAGATTCTACATTGGCACTTGCTGCTTCACTTTGTACTTTTATGTTACAGAGATGGCTTCTTTCTGTAACCCTAATGAACTAACTTCTGCTTGCTTCAAACTCTTCTTTTGTAGCTTTCTCCCCTCTCACAGTCTTCATTGAATTGAGAAGAGTTAAGAGCTTTCCTCTGAATTAGGCTTTGGTTCAAAGGAATACTGTGGCTGTCTTGATTTTCTATCCAGACTACTCAGTCAGACTATTTTGCATCAGCAAATGAGAGAGAGAGAGAGGAGAGAGGAGAGAGGAGGAGAGGAGATGGGGCGGGGGGGGGGGGGGGAGAGAGAGAGAGAGAGAGAGAGAGAGAGATGGAAGAATGACTGGTAGGTGGAGCAGTCAGAACACACAACATTAAGTTTACGATTTTATATGGGCATGGTTTATGGCACCCCAAATAACTATAAGTAACATCAATGATCACTGATCACAGATCAACATAAGAGATATAATGAAAAAGTTTTAAATATTGCAAGAAGTAAAAAAAATGACACAAAAAATGAGCACATGCTGTTGGAAAAATGGTGCTAACAGACGATGGCAGAGTTGTCATAACTTTTCAATTTATTAAAAAGGCAGTATCTAAAAAGGGCAATAACGTGAAATGCACAAAGTACAGAGTCTGCTTACATTTCTTCTTCCCTCTTTCCTTTCCTTCTGGAATACAAACTACATATATAGTACATATTTCACTACGTTTTACCTATTCTGTTTTTTTTATTCTTTCTTCTCTATCAGTTTTTGTTTGAAAATTTTCTATTAATCTATCTTTAAATTCACTTATTCCTTCTTCTGTTGTGTCTAGTCTTCCATAAGTGAACTAATTTCGGATACTGTATTTTTTATCCTAAAATGCCAATTTGATTATCTTTTATTCTGATTTTCTAATAAAATTTTATGTTATTTTTCTCCCTTTTCTTCTATTAAAAATACATTAAGTTATTTTCAAATTCTTGGGTATAAATGCTAATAAAAGAATCATTTATGGGACTGCCTCTGTTGTTTCTCTCATGATTAGCAGCCAGATATTCCTGCCTCTCTGCCTATTTAGCAATGTATGTCTCTTTTTTCCCTCTACCTGTTATACTGAGAGTGGTGACCTGCTGTGACTTACTATTTCTTTCCTGGAAGCAGAATTCCTCCTCTATTCCTGGGATTTTTTTTTAACCTATATTGCAGGAATATTGAACTACCGTTGTTTTTCCTTATTAAAAATTTGCTTCCATGTTGCATATTATTGGGTAATTATTTGCTTTATTTCATTTTTATTATCAAAAGAGTACAGTAGCACCTTACCTGCTCAAAAGTCATCCAGCCATTGCAATTGTTAAGCATAAGAACAAGATGATCCTCTGAAAGGCCAACATCAATGGTACAAAACCAATGAATTTTTACTCACACCAGTTCTTAAGAATAAGTATACACACACATACACATATCCCATCAACCTGTGCTGTAGTAGGCAGAACACAGAATTTGATGACAGAAGACATGGCCTACACCTTATCTGCCATTTACCAGCAGAGAGACCTTAGGTACAACATTGACTTACTTTGAGTCTTAGTTTTCAATTCAAAAGTTGTTGAAAGATAAAATAGTATATTTTAAATTCACAGATGTTGTGAAGACAAAACAGTGTATTTTAAAGACTTTTGTAAACTGTAAGCATGTTGTAAATGCCTTATTACATAGCTTTTAAATCTATAGATCAAAAGCTGTAAATTAAATAAACACGGAGCTAACAGTGTAACAGACACATGGACAGGAACTGACAATCAACAGAATAACATCAAGAGAAGAGTAAAAAACTATTTTAAAAGTACAATAAGAACTCTGGTAAGCTATTTAATATAAACTGAAACAATTCCTACTAATTTCAACAGACCCTGGAGCTATTACTTTAACACAACAGGAATTAATGTTTATGGCAAGTTTAAATCTGAAACAATACCCTGTATATTATTATTAAAATAGAAAAATATCTAATGAACGCTGGAAAAAGTATAATAAAAAATGACTAAAATAAAAATTCCACTTGAATTATCTGCAAGTAGATTTGTTTCTACTTAAGGGCCTTTATACCATATGATTTTGGCATGAGTAAATATGCAAAAAAAAAAAAAAAAAAAAAAAAAAGAAGAATCTGCATCATTGGCCAGGTGTAGTGGCTCACACCTGTAATCCCAGCACTTTGGGAGGCCAAGGTGGGTGGATCATCTGGCCAAAATGATGAAACCCCTCCTATACTAACAATACAAAAATTAGCCAGGAGTGATGGCACACACCTCTAGTCTCAGCTACTCTGGAGGCTGACATAAGAGAATCACCTGAAGCCAGGAGGCAGAGGTTACAGTGAGCCAGGATCATGCCACTGCACTCCAGCCTAGGCAACAAAGCAAGACTCCGTTTAAAAAAAAAAAAAAAAAAAAAAAATCTGCATCATTAACTCACTCACTAGTAGAAAACTTTGTAAAAGGTATTTTTCAGAAGTCTTTGAAGAAAACAAGTAATAGACTGTGGCTAAGAAACAGAAGAGAGTGAAATCAACATTCTCATAGAGCAAAAAGTAAAAGAACAATATGGCCTATATGAAGAAATGGTCAAAGAAGGCAAGTGGCATAGATTCTTAAAAGCAAGAATCATTTGGGGAACTCTAAAGAATACTATAGCACGGTTGTAAAGTAGGCAATACATTAAGTTTTAGAACATAATAATTTCACAAAAATGGTTGTAAAGTATATTTATCAATGAGTTAAAGAGATAACTCCAGAGTTGACTAGGCAAACACACGTAAAATATTAGGCTTATGCCACAAATACAAAATTTCAAAAAAGCACTAGATAAAGGAAGTCAAGAATTTAAATGAAAAATAGGTACACAGTCTAATGTAAAAGAAGAAAATCAGTACCTTGCCATTGTTGAAAATGGAAATAGGATAAGGATTTTTTTCACAGGCCCTGTTAAAAGACATCTGTGCAGGTATGATTTCTCTAAAGCTTAAAGGCATTATGCCAAAACTAAGAGTCAGAATAGAAAAGGCAAAAATAGTCTAATTTTTGCGTATGTTAGGATTTCATTATGTGCTAAGTGTTTTTATTTGGTAACTAAACTTAATAATATGTCATCCAAATTCTAAAATAGCAATATCTGAAAATATCTCTGTAAAAACTATGTCCAAAATAATTCAGTAATCTTATGAATAAATCTATATACCTTAGCAAGTGATTTTACAATAGGATTCTCCATAATTCCCTTGAGGAAAATTAGGTCTATTTCTTCTGCTCCAGTAGATGAAGGCAGCTCTGTAAGGTTTTCCAAGACTTGCTGCATTGCTGCTGAGATAAAAGCAACATTAAAACAAACAAACAAACAAACAAACAAACTTAAATTTCAAACCATTATGGAGTAAGATTATTTTAATAACACAAATAGACATTTAGAATATTCTTTTAAAAAATAACATTTTCAAAAATGAAATTGTTACAGTATGAGTTTCAAATTGACTTCCCAGGAATTAGTAGCAGAATAGATTTTTAGATGCAATTTGGACTTTATCAGACTACTTTATACATACTTACATCATTTCGCTTGCTTTTTATTTTTCAAATTTAAAAACATTACTCAAGGAAAAATACAAAATTCAAATAGGCTTACAAGTAAAAAGTCTAATTTAGAAATAATAAAATTCCTACAAGCCGAGAACCAGCCTTTGCTGCTGAATTCTATGAAACTATTTAAAAAGAATTAAGATAAATACTTCACAAACTTTTCCAATTAAAAAAAAAAAAAAAGAGGAAGAAACACCTTCCAACTCATTCTATGGGACCAATCACCCTGATACTAAACCCAACAACATCACACACACACACACACAGAAATAGTACAGCCAATGTCTCCTAGAAATACAGATGCAAAAATCTTAAAATATTGGCAAACTGAATCCAGTGACATATAAAAAGAATTGTACATAATGGGCAAGTTCACTTTATCCTAGGAATGCAAGAGTAGTTCAATGTATTAAAAAAAAAATCAATATAATATTCTCAATAGAACAAAGAACAAAATTAAATGATATTTCAAAGAAAATCATTAGAGAAAACCTAAAACCCTTTCATAATAAAAATTCACTAAACTAAAAACAGGAGGAAAATATTTCACTCTGATAAATGGCTTCTATGAAAAACCCACAGCTAACATCATACTTAATGGTGCTTTTACTCTTAATATGGAATAAAACAAGGCTGTATACTTTTGGCATTTTTATTCAACTTTGTTTTGAAGGTTCTACACAGGGCAGTTAAGCAAAAAAAAGAAAAGAAAAAGAAGACAAGTAAAAGGCATCCAGATTTGAAAGCAAGAAGTAAAACAATTTCTATCTGCAGATCATTTGATTTTATATATGGAAAATTCCAATATACAAAAATTTATAATTAATAAGTGAGTTCACCAAGACTTCAGGATACAAGATCAATATAAAACAACCAATACGTTGTTACATATAGTGTATTTCTATACACTAGTGACAAACAATCCAAGAATGAAATTAAGAAAACCGTTTAATAGTAGCATCAAAAAAAAAAAAATGCTGAGAAATAGATGTAACAGAAGTAGTACAAAATTTGTACAATGAAACTATAAAACATCACTGAAAGAATGAAGACGGCCTAAATAAAGGCAATGACATCCCATGTTCATGGATCAGAGAACTTATTATTAAAATGGCAAAAGTTCCCAAATTAATCTACAGGTTTAATACAATCCCTATCGAAATCTCTACTGCCTTTCCTTTTTTGTAGAAATTGACAAACTCATTCCATTCATGTGGAGACTCAAAAAAAAAAAAAAAAAAAAATCCAGAATAGCCAAGAGTCTTCAAAAAGAACAACAAAGTTGCAAACCTCACACTCTCAACTTCAAAACTTACTAAAAAGCTACAGTAATCAACACTATGTGGAACTAGCATATAGACAGACATACAATTAAACAAGAGCATAATAACAAATCCATGAATTTATGGTCAGTTGATTCTGAATGTGCCAAGATAATTAAATAAAGAAAAAATAGTTTTTTCAACAACTGGTACTGGGATGACATGTACATGTAAGAGAGTGAAGCTAGACCCTTCCCCTCGTTCAATATTATAACCTTATCAGTTTTATCTCTATTTGATGTTTCTGATAACAAATCAACAATAAATGCAGAAGTTGTTATTAATATTAACTTTTATTTTTATTAAAACAAAATACAGACACTGTTAAAAATCAGATTGTACTACTAAATGGCTTATAAAATACAGTTTTCTGTTCCATGCTGTTTACCCTTCTCCCAACTTAACCTACTCCCAGAACTAATTATTAGGAACTTAATGGTTTCTTCTAATCAGATGTGTTTGTAGTTTCTCTTCTTTCTTGATAATATGCTAATGTTGCTACTTTGTGATTGACTCATTTTGGACATTACCTACTTTCTGTTATAATACTAGAGGTTTCAGCTTTTACCTTCCTTATCTTCACACTCTCAATTTTTAAAAAATAAAATAGTGTTTTTCATATTAAACTCTCAAAACTTTTTTCCAAATGTTTCAACAAGCTTTTCACATTTTTATCAGCACTTTTCCAAATGTTCAAATCTTTTTCTAATACTCTATCAGACCTATTTCTTGTTTTCTATCCCTGATCTCCTTCACAAAGCATTCTTCTCTTGTATGTTAACTTGGACAGGTTCATCTGCCAGGGTTTCTTGAATGACAATTTTTGAAGATAAAGAGGCAAACAACAGCACAATGTGCACTTGACAAAGGAGAAGGGAAACAAGTATTGGACTAAGAAGAAGAAAGATGACACAGGAAATAAAGAATATAAACTACACCTACTTCATAGTTTTGCTTAAGGTCAACAGATTATCTTTAATCTGGGCAGGAAACAATTTTTAAAAGCAGTTTTGTCCTGTGGCTATAAATGTGGTTAGCAGTATATCTCATTACTTACTATTCATTTGTTTGACATTGTACATTTGTCTTTATTTTTCATTTTTATTATGGAAAACTTCAAACATATATGAAGGAAACAGAATAATAGTTTCTTTAAAGGTTAATTTACTTTAAAGCTTTTGCTAATAATCTTAAAGTAACTGTTAGTCATAATAAAGAAATAAGTGCATCCCATGTTCTTAATTCTTACACTTTAACCTAGATATTTCCCCAGACATGCCTGGACAAGCCCAGGCAAATCTTAGGTCATAGCTTATTCCCCTTCCTTGTTTGGAAATGTTATCACTTCTCTAAGCATTCCTCAAGTTACTTCCTCTTTTCCTTTGTTCTCCTCTGCCTTTACTTCTTTAGAAAATTTCCAAGTTTTCAGCCAATCCGGTCAAGCATAGAATGTGAGCTACCATTCTGGCTAATGGAAACTGGACACAGTAGTAGGGTCCTTGCATCAGGTTATCAAAGTTATAAATGTCCCTGTCTCCTTTGTTTAGGGGTGCTCTCGGGGCAAGACTACCAGCAAGTTGCACCCTTTCTGCAGGGAGTAAACTAGCCTTGCTGAGTTATCCATTGTCTCGGTGTGGATTTTTTCCAATGTCATAAACCTGTTTCCAATAATTATCAAATTAGCAATACCTAAAAAATGAAAAGTAATTCATTAATGTTATCAAATGTCTTGTCTGTGTTCATAACCTTAGTTGTACTGAAGTTTTTTTTTTTAATGTACCTTCTATATTGATTCTTGAGGTGCTTGTTTTTTTTAAATTGGTGTTTAGGTCAGTAGAGAAGTGATAGAAATTGTGAAATAGATCTTTTATTAAAGATCTTCATAAGTTGTTACTGATTATTAATCATATGGAATTTAATCTAGAAATCGATAAACTTGAAAACATCCCTTGTCTTGGAAAACAAATCTCAAATATTATAATGCTGTCAATCATTCCCATATTCATTTATATATTTGGGGGATTTATAGTCAAAATATAATACATAGTTATTTTTAACTATATAATCCTAAAAGCATGTGAAATGATAAAGAAAAAAACATGTGAGAAAATTACAACAAGTAATGGGAGATGGGCCTACTCCCAATTTAGTAAAAGTGATTCTGCAGAGTCCCTCACCAAAATTATGAACAATGGAATCTGAGCTGCTACTGCTACCTTCTTACAGAAATCTCTCCTGCTGTTTCTCTGCTTAAAATGGAAATAGCTGTCCTGTGTTACCAAAGTCTTTCTTCCCCAAACTTCAAATAAAATACCTCCATGATTTTTTTTAAAGTAACAAAATGATTTAGTCCTATAAAACATTAAAACATAAATCTATAATAATTAGTCAGATATCAAAAAACACAAGACAACTCTAGTATGTGTAAAAACATAATATATAACATAAGAGCCTCTCAGTAATGAGAGCCTTACAAAGCTAAGATAGGAGCCAGAGAAAAAGAGAAGTTTTTCCCATTTACTTAGAGATCCCAGGAAGAAAGGGCAGAGTCCAAACTCAAAAGGTAAGTTATCTACAAGTTTCACTCCTTCTCCGTAATCACTAGAGGAGATGAAGACTTTAATCACTAGATTCAAGAACATATAAATGGGATTTTTTACATGAGCTTGAGAAAAATTAATAGATTTAATCTCACTCTTCAGTTACCAATAAGAATAAATCATGAATCACCAATTGCTTATGAAAACTAGCAGCATGAATTAGACTAACCAAATTCAACAAACAAAAGCATGAACCTCCAGGGAAATAGAATTACTAGGAAATAAAGAAAGAGGAAAAAAAAGATAAACTGTAATACACACAAAGATCAAGCTGAAGAAAGACTACCACCATTAAAAAGGGCAAAGAGAGGTAAAGTATGAGTAAACTGTTATGGATCATGAAAGACAAAAATTTACAAGGTAATTAAATGCAGAAATGAATAAAAGAAAAGCAAAAGTCAACCAATCAAAAGACATGGATTTGATCAGTAAGTCAATAAATAGCTGCCTCTTTTAAATGACCAATTAAAATACACAAATACTTAGCTAGTCTAATTAAGAAAAAAATAAGACACAAAGAGTGATGTCAGTAAGATGGCTGACGATAAGTGTCTGGTGCACATTCCTCTGCTTCAAGAAAGGATCAAGGCAATCAACAAACAGCTAAGATTTGACTGGAGTGTTGAAGGAGAGTGCTGAAGTACAGCAGGGAAGTGGGGAGGTACCTGTGATGGCTGGAAGCCTACAAGGCCAGCATGGAGGCATCCTGCCTCTGCCATCCCATCCTTCCAACCTGCAATGGCCCAGAGTGAGGAGCAACTTCCTCTTGTGGGGGCAGGGTAAGGGGCTTGGTAGTGGGGGTGGG